GCACGATCCCAAATTCCTGGCGTAGCGCGTATCGTCTGAAAAACTGCCACAATTCGGTCGCGGAGAGTTTCTACATCATCCACTGTAGACAAATACAATAAAGACTTTGCATAACCCCACAGAAAGAAGTCCAGTGGGTTTAAATCTGGTGAGCGTGGAGGCCAAGCAATTGGTCCACCTCTACCTATCCACTTACCAAGAAACATTTCATCGAGATGCTCGACAAACTTGACGAGAATTGTGTCACAAAAACTTCAATATCTCAGAAACTAATCATTTCCGGACCTATGTTGATATAACTTTTTTTTTCTTTTCTAAGCATTAGGAATACATTACTGAAGTTTTGCCCACCATTCATGAAACACTCTTTATATGTATATATACAGGGTGTCCCATCAAAGGTGGCGATCCCCTTTTATCTTTTAAACTGAAAGAGATAGACCGTAACAAGTATATATGAAATTAAATGGTTCACACTGAACTCTATTGTGAGCATAGTGGTTGCTTCCAAAAACTATCTGTGTTAATAAACGGAGAGGTATGCATAATTTTTTTATAATAATATATTCCGATATAATAAAAATTGTAGCGCTGTTTGAAACGAATACAACAATGTATGATATTATGTAAATATTTTACATATTATATGAGTTTTATCGACTTGAAATATTGCGGACGACATCTACCTTTTCTCGTGCATTAGAGATTGATATATATCATGTTGTCATTTGATCATAATACTTAATCCGAAGTTCATAATACTTAATCCGAAAGCCATATCGCAGGCCCAAAAATGAAAAGATAGACGTCGCCCACATAAACAGCGCTACAATTTTTTACGTGTCAAAAAATTCACATTATTATAAAAAAATTATGCATACCTCTCCGTTTATTAACACAGATAGTTTTTGGAAGCAACCACTATGCTCACAATAGAGTTCAGTGTGAACCATTTAATTTCATATATACTTGTTACGGTCTATCTCTTTCAGTTTAAAAGATAAAAGGGGATCGCCACCTTTGATGGGACACCCTGTATATATACATATAAAGAGTGTTTCATGAATGGTGGGCAAAACTTCAGTAATGTATTCCTAATGCTTAGAAAAGAAAAAAAAAGTTATATCAACATAGGTCGAGAAATGATTAGTTTCTGAGTTATTAAAGTTTTTGTAACACAATTCTCGTCACATTATCTTAGAGGAAATGTTCAATATGTCCATTCCTATCTCAATACAAGCCTCAGTTCGTCATTGAGCCCTGAGCACGATCCCAAATTCCTGGCGTAGCGCGTATCGTCTGAAAAACTGCCACAATTCGGTCGCGGAGAGTTTCTACATCATCCACTGTAGACAAATACAATAAAGACTTTGCATAACCCCACAGAAAGAAGTCCAGTGGGTTTAAATCTGGTGAGCGTGGAGGCCAAGCAATTGGTCCACCTCTACCTATCCACTTACCAAGAAACATTTCATCGAGATGCTCGACAAACTTGACGAGAATTGTGTCACAAAAACTTCAATATCTCAGAAACTAATCATTTCCGGACCTATGTTGATATAACTTTTTTTTTCTTTTCTAAGCATTAGGAATACATTACTGAAGTTTTGCCCACCATTCATGAAACACTCTTTATATGTATATATACAGGGTGTCCCATCAAAGGTGGCGATCCCCTTTTATCTTTTAAACTGAAAGAGATAGACCGTAACAAGTATATATGAAATTAAATGGTTCACACTGAACTCTATTGTGAGCATAGTGGTTGCTTCCAAAAACTATCTGTGTTAATAAACGGAGAGGTATGCATAATTTTTTTATAATAATATATTCCGATATAATAAAAATTGTAGCGCTGTTTGAAACGAATACAACAATGTATGATATTATGTAAATATTTTACATATTATATGAGTTTTATCGACTTGAAATATTGCGGACGACATCTACCTTTTCTCGTGCATTAGAGATTGATATATATCATGTTGTCATTTGATCATAATACTTAATCCGAAGTTCATAATACTTAATCCGAAAGCCATATCGCAGGCCCAAAAATGAAAAGATAGACGTCGCCCACATAAACAGCGCTACAATTTTTTACGTGTCAAAAAATTCACATTATTATAAAAAAATTATGCATACCTCTCCGTTTATTAACACAGATAGTTTTTGGAAGCAACCACTATGCTCACAATAGAGTTCAGTGTGAACCATTTAATTTCATATATACTTGTTACGGTCTATCTCTTTCAGTTTAAAAGATAAAAGGGGATCGCCACCTTTGATGGGACACCCTGTATATATACATATAAAGAGTGTTTCATGAATGGTGGGCAAAACTTCAGTAATGTATTCCTAATGCTTAGAAAAGAAAAAAAAAGTTATATCAACATAGGTCGAGAAATGATTAGTTTCTGAGTTATTAAAGTTTTTGTAACACAATTCTCGTCACATTATCTTAGAGGAAATGTTCAATATGTCCATTCCTATCTCAATACAAGCCTCAGTTCGTCATTGAGCCCTGAGCACGATCCCAAATTCCTGGCGTAGCGCGTATCGTCTGAAAAACTGCCACAATTCGGTCGCGGAGAGTTTCTACATCATCCACTGTAGACAAATACAATAAAGACTTTGCATAACCCCACAGAAAGAAGTCCAGTGGGTTTAAATCTGGTGAGCGTGGAGGCCAAGCAATTGGTCCACCTCTACCTATCCACTTACCAAGAAACATTTCATCGAGATGCTCGACAAACTTGACGAGAATTGTGTCACAAAAACTTCAATATCTCAGAAACTAATCATTTCCGGACCTATGTTGATATAACTTTTTTTTTCTTTTCTAAGCATTAGGAATACATTACTGAAGTTTTGCCCACCATTCATGAAACACTCTTTATATGTATATATACAGGGTGTCCCATCAAAGGTGGCGATCCCCTTTTATCTTTTAAACTGAAAGAGATAGACCGTAACAAGTATATATGAAATTAAATGGTTCACACTGAACTCTATTGTGAGCATAGTGGTTGCTTCCAAAAACTATCTGTGTTAATAAACGGAGAGGTATGCATAATTTTTTTATAATAATATATTCCGATATAATAAAAATTGTAGCGCTGTTTGAAACGAATACAACAATGTATGATATTATGTAAATATTTTACATATTATATGAGTTTTATCGACTTGAAATATTGCGGACGACATCTACCTTTTCTCGTGCATTAGAGATTGATATATATCATGTTGTCATTTGATCATAATACTTAATCCGAAGTTCATAATACTTAATCCGAAAGCCATATCGCAGGCCCAAAAATGAAAAGATAGACGTCGCCCACATAAACAGCGCTACAATTTTTTACGTGTCAAAAAATTCACATTATTATAAAAAAATTATGCATACCTCTCCGTTTATTAACACAGATAGTTTTTGGAAGCAACCACTATGCTCACAATAGAGTTCAGTGTGAACCATTTAATTTCATATATACTTGTTACGGTCTATCTCTTTCAGTTTAAAAGATAAAAGGGGATCGCCACCTTTGATGGGACACCCTGTATATATACATATAAAGAGTGTTTCATGAATGGTGGGCAAAACTTCAGTAATGTATTCCTAATGCTTAGAAAAGAAAAAAAAAGTTATATCAACATAGGTCGAGAAATGATTAGTTTCTGAGTTATTAAAGTTTTTGTAACACAATTCTCGTCACATTATCTTAGAGGAAATGTTCAATATGTCCATTCCTATCTCAATACAAGCCTCAGTTCGTCATTGAGCCCTGAGCACGATCCCAAATTCCTGGCGTAGCGCGTATCGTCTGAAAAACTGCCACAATTCGGTCGCGGAGAGTTTCTACATCATCCACTGTAGACAAATACAATAAAGACTTTGCATAACCCCACAGAAAGAAGTCCAGTGGGTTTAAATCTGGTGAGCGTGGAGGCCAAGCAATTGGTCCACCTCTACCTATCCACTTACCAAGAAACATTTCATCGAGATGCTCGACAAACTTGACGAGAATTGTGTCACAAAAACTTCAATATCTCAGAAACTAATCATTTCCGGACCTATGTTGATATAACTTTTTTTTTCTTTTCTAAGCATTAGGAATACATTACTGAAGTTTTGCCCACCATTCATGAAACACTCTTTATATGTATATATACAGGGTGTCCCATCAAAGGTGGCGATCCCCTTTTATCTTTTAAACTGAAAGAGATAGACCGTAACAAGTATATATGAAATTAAATGGTTCACACTGAACTCTATTGTGAGCATAGTGGTTGCTTCCAAAAACTATCTGTGTTAATAAACGGAGAGGTATGCATAATTTTTTTATAATAATATATTCCGATATAATAAAAATTGTAGCGCTGTTTGAAACGAATACAACAATGTATGATATTATGTAAATATTTTACATATTATATGAGTTTTATCGACTTGAAATATTGCGGACGACATCTACCTTTTCTCGTGCATTAGAGATTGATATATATCATGTTGTCATTTGATCATAATACTTAATCCGAAGTTCATAATACTTAATCCGAAAGCCATATCGCAGGCCCAAAAATGAAAAGATAGACGTCGCCCACATAAACAGCGCTACAATTTTTTACGTGTCAAAAAATTCACATTATTATAAAAAAATTATGCATACCTCTCTGTTTGTTAACACAGATAGCTTTTGAAAGCAACCACTATGCTCATAATAGAGTTCAGTTTGAACTATTTAATTTCATATATATATTTGTTACAATTTATCTCTTTTCCGCTTCTAAAAAAGGCATGAAACGTCGAACTCGAATATATCGAAGCGTTGAAGCCTCTTCTCCGCGATGCTGATTGGCTGTCTCGCTTGTGCGCTGCGACTTGCTTCATTCGTGTTATTTGCAACTGTCAAATCTTGAGAATTTTAACAGTTTGACAATTTGTGAAAAGCTGTACTACGTAAACGAGAAAGGAAAAAAAGAGAACGATGAGTCACCTTGAGTGTGATCGATGCTGTCGGAGGTGGCGAGAGTTTGATTGGAATTGCTTTCCGCCTGCTGCTGGCTGCTGGCCATCGCGTTCAACTCGTATCCCTGACGCAGCAAGGACACCCGGTAGAAGTAGTTGCGCCAGAAGTTCTCCTCGGATATACTGTCGCAAGGACAGAAGGAATTCTCAGAATCGACAAAGAAATCAAACTCGGAGTAACCGAATGAGCGCTCTGATTAATGTGTCTCAGCATTATATTCAATTAACGTAAGCTAATTAATCGCCGAGTACGATAACAATGTACTTGTATCTTTCGCGTTCGTGGTCCACTGTAAAAAAAATTGACTGGAACTTCAGATACACACAAAGCGTCTGCAGCTCTTTTGTAGACACACTGTCTGAATTTTCAGATATCTTTCAATTTTCAGACACTTTCCTGAATTTTTAGGAAAATTTCGAAAAAATAAATTTTGAAAAAAATAATTATTTTTTCAAAATTTTATAATACATAAAAAATTTTTTTTTAATTTTATTGGCGTTGAATAGAGGTGCTGTTCTTACAATAAAAATTTTGTGTAAAATATTTGTTGATATTTTGAATAGTTTTCGAGATATATCGAGAAAATCAAAAAGAGTCTATCCTACGTATAAGCGATGATTAAGATAGATTATCTGAAATTTCTTTCAAACATCCAGATCTGAAAATTCAGACAAAAATATGTGTATGTGAACTTTTAGAAAAATTTTTACAGTGTCCTTGACACTAATTATTACATACGTATTTCCATGAAATCCTTAGAAGCATTTGTTGTTTTCAAAGCACAGCGCGCGATCGATCTAATTATTTCGTTCAAAGCATAATTTCACGAACATGATAAAATGCATTTTGTTTCCGTCAAATGTTGCGTTATAATTTAATTATCGAATCGTTTTACATTTCGAACAAAATTAATTGAAAATGATTTCGTCCTCTTTGAAAACGCTAGTCGATTAACTGGCTCCCGCCAATCAATTAATCACATTTTCATTTACTTGAACTTTAATTTGTCGACTTTAATTTAATAACCAATGTAAACGTTATTAAATTCTTTATTATTACACGTCACATCGCGTGATAACAATACGATTTTACAGAACGCGCGATTATTCTTGCGCAACAAAAATAAAAGAACAATACTGCAGAATTATTAATTTCGAATAAAACGCACGAGAAAAATTATAAACGATAGTTTTTGGTGTTATTACTTTTATGTATTATTAATTAATTAAAAAAATCGCGTAACGTAAATAAAAATATATTCATGAAATAACAAATTTAAAAAAAAGAAAAAAAAAACGCAGAAACTCCGAGAATTTTCATAGAGTCAATCTACTTACATTTTCGGGACAAGCTCGAACCTCATGGCCTCAAGATTCGGATCAAGAGCGAGGGTGGCCTGTGCCATTGGCT